CGCAAGCTGAGGCAGGTGCTGGACAATCTGCTGAGCAACGCCGTCAAGTTCACCAGGAGCGGGGAGATCGGCATCACGGCTCGCCGAACGTCGGACGCACCAGACGGGTCGAGCAGGGTCGAAATTTCGGGTTTTCGTGCTGTATGATTTCTGACGTTGTTGATAATCAAAGCACATATCGATGGATTGTCCTACCTGTGTCCATATCATCAATGGCACTCCGACGGATATCGTCATCATGCGTCACACGGTCGACGACAGGAGATACACTATCGATAGCGGATCACATTTCTCCAATTTCCACGAACGACCACGAGAACGTTGGAAATATTTTAGGGTGGATCAGGACCCGCGAGAGATCAGGATCGACGAATCGATCTTTCGTCGGATTTCTAGTACTGCCGACAGAAATCATTACATACACGGAGGACGATTGGATTCGGTTTTTACATGAACGATCCGACACACTCATAGAAACAAAGCACGAGAGTCTGCCCTCGACTCTGCGTAGGAGACATCCGTCAATGCTGAATTTACAGCTAGGAACCGTCGACTGATGTCACCGTAGGGCTATAGGAGAAGATGGATGGCGAGCAGGAGTCGCCGGCCGGGGAACGCACGGGTCCCGTCAGGACGGGGTCGACCGGAAGCGGATGGTCTCGGGAGGGATGCCGGCGCCCGGCGCTATGGGCACCCGCACGGAGAAGCTCTCGGGCGGACTCTGAGGGGCCGAGAGGGGCTTCCTCGCGGTGTCGCTCCGGTGCCGTCTGGTGCACTCCATCTCGGAGCCCCTCCTCGTGCAGGCGTACGTGCGCTCCGTCTTGAAGCCGTCCGTGATCGTGAGTGAGATGCTCGCGTCGGCGGCTACGTCGGGCAGTTGGAACATGGCGGCGTACGCGTGCTCCAGATGTTCCCGACCGCGCTCGGAGGAGATTTCGACTCCCATCACGTTCCCGGCTTCGTCTCCCAGCGGAGCGAAGTCGACGGTCGCGAAGTGGCCGCCGTGGTCCGTCACGGGGAGCCTCTCGGTCTCCGCCGACCTCGGGCACCTGGTCCTCGTGATGATCCCTCTGACGGGCGACGACGGTGCGACCGAGTAACGCGCGGCGATGGCGACGGACCCCGCCGAGCAGTCCGGACAGATCCCGGCCACGTAGGCGAGCAGCGGCCGCTCTCCAGTGCCGCCGATGACGTGGCACGTCCCGCACACGTAGCCGTCGTCCCACATATCCGGGGCCACGTACATGGGGGCGTGGTCGGGCGGGTGGGGTGTCGCGGCGCTGCAGGGAGTCACCTTGCCGTCCGTCAGGTCCGCGACGAAGCGGACGCGTGTGGTCTCCACGGCGCCGTGTCCGCGGAAGGACAGGATGCGAGACGCGGCCAGCGAGGCGGCGCACGCGACCATCAGGTGCGTGACGATCCACCGCATTTGACCGTAGTCCATGGCTTACGATCGGGCGGAGAGAATATCCGGGGGAGCGCGTGCCGGGGGACGGGAATTTTATTCTGGGTCCTTGGATATACCGCGACCATGTCGATCGTAGCTCGCGCGGCTGCCAGCGACGTCACCAAGGCGACTCCCCGCAGGCGCTTCGGCCCCGAGAGGAGGCGGGAGACCGGTGGGGGGCGCGTGCCGAGGGTGGGGGTACCCGGGAGACGCGACGGGAGGACGGAGCGCGGGTCCAGGGACTCGCTGACCAAGATCCGGATCATCGGGGACGTGGCGGAGCGGGCCAGGACGGACGCCGAGAGGTCCGTGTCGAGGAGCGCCAAGCGCCTCGCTCTGGAGCTGGACGTGCGGGCTCGGGAGGCCGCGGAGCGCTTCGCCGCCGGTGCCACCGACTCGGCCTTCGACTCGGCCCTGCCCGCCTGCTTCGCGGAGGAGATCCTGCTCTTCGATGGATGGAAGAAGCGTATGGACGAGTTCTGGAGGGAGAGCGCGGGGGAGTGGAGCACCGTGGGTTCCGAGAGGGATGCGGAGCTGGCCAGGATCAAGCGGGTCTTCGAGGAGCGCGAGAGCTCCGACAGCGACTCGGAGTGGGACGAGCCGGAGCACATGGATCTGCCCAGGCCGGAGCGGGAGTCGGGGCCGGCCGAGCGCGATCAGTAGGCTCCGCTCATGACCAGGTAGAGGAGGATCAGCAGGAGGGCGAGGGTGCCGTGCGACGTCCGGTCCCTCCTCCCGGAGTCCGTGGCGAGGGAGAGTTCGAGGTCTTCGATCCGCGAGGAGAGCCCCCTGACGGTGGCCGGGAGGTCGAAGACGCCGCGCCCCATCTCGCGCATGATGCTCACCCCGTCGATGGTCGAGTCGGGGAGTATGTCTCTGGCCACGGCGAATCCGTCGAACTCCGGGTCGAGGGTCTTGCAGAGCGCGTCCACCATGCCCCCCGACCGTATGAGGTACATGACCTCTACCCTCGGGCGGAAGATGCGCTTGTAGTTGCTGGTGAAGGACTCGTTGGTCTCGAAGATGTCCCGGATCTGCTTGTGGGTGCCGCCCGCCCTCAGGAGCGCGATGACCGCTCGGAGCTCCTTCTTGATCATGGCGGCCTCGACGGGAGTGCTCCCGGAGACGTCCACGACGCCGAGTCCGGTCAGGCAGTCGAGCAGCTTGTTCTGATCGTTCTGGACGGTCGCCTCCACGAACGACTTGAAGTAAGCCTGAGGCCGCGCGTCCAGGGATATGCACGAGCCGAGGTCGTAGAACACCAGGCTGCCGTCGTCCGTCAGGCCGACGTTCCCGGGATGGAGGTCGCCGTGGAAGAAGCCGCTGCGGAATAGTTGGAATGCGAAGGCGGCGGCCAGCCGGACGGCGATCGTGCCTGGTTCGGCGATCCGGGAGACGTTCTCCGCGTCGTCTAGCTTTCGGGACGGCACGTACTCCATGACGATGAAGTCGGGCCCGCCGTCGTACACCAGCGGCACCTTCACGAAGTCCAGGCCCGCCAGCGAGGCCGCGAACCTCCTCGCGTTGCGGATCTCGCCCCGGAAGTCGGTCTCGGAGATCACGACGGGCATCATCTCCGTGACGACGTCCTTCAGGTTCTGAGTCCCGGGCACGCCGAGCCCCTTGAGCACGTCGAAGGCGAGGCTGCAGTCCCGGAAGCCGTCCAGGAACGCCTGCCGCACGCCGGGCCGCTTGACCTTCACGGCGACGTCCCGTCCGGAATCGTCGGTGCCCCTGTACACGGCCGCGACGGACCCGCAGGCGATGGGCGGGGCGTCCGCCGGAACGCCGTAGCTCCTCAGGACCTCCAGCTGCTCCGCCGCCGGCTCGAACGGCTCAACGGCGTCCTGGAGGCGCCGGAGCTCGTCGAGTACCTCGTCGTCGAGGCCCTCTCCCTTCACGGACGCGAACTGCATGATCTTCACGAAGAGGGGCCCCTTTTCCTGCGCCCTGGTGCGCATCCAGCGTCCCAGGTCCCGCTTGTCCTTCTGCCACCTGACGCGCGCGAGGAGCTCGACCCCGAAGGCGGCGGTCTCCGCTATGCGCCCGATCCGGCCGCCCAGCTCTCGGGCTCCCCCTACGCCGCTCCGGACGAGCAGTGCCCTGGAGGACGTCGAGACGGCGCACGCCATACTGACTTCGTCCTCCGAAAATTTCCGGGCCGAGCGGGCCGCGGCGGACCCTTCGGTGTAGGGTCCCCTATATAACCGGGCGTCCGGATGGATACCGGCATTTCTCGGACGATCATGGAGAGCGCGTGCGACGACCGGCGGCGCGCGGTGCTGGAGCGGGAGGGGCGCGACGTGCGGGAGAGCGTGGCGAGGGCATGTTCTATAGACCTGAGTCCGCCCGTCCCGGTCACGATGACGTGCATGCTGCACCTGGAGGCCCCCTTGGGTCTGCGGGCGATCGAGGATGCGCTCCTTCGGAGGCGGGAGGAGGCGGGCGCCGCTGGCGACGAAAAGAGGACCCTGATCCGGTTCGACCCCGCGGACGGCACGGCGTTCAGGAACCAATTGACGCTCCGGCTGGTGCAGCGGATCGAGGGGTGCGATCGGCGGCGGGTGGTCTCCTGCAAGCTGTTCGCGAGGGGCTTGGTCCACACGACGGGGGCGAGGACGCTGGAGGAGGTGTCGGCGGCCTGGAAGACGCTGCGGCATTTCGTCCGGGGCCTGTTCGGCTCGGATCCTCCCGCGTTGATCGTCGTCCGGTGCTCTCCGGTCATGGTGAACTCGTCGTGCAAGGTGTCCAAGAGCGGTTCGGCGGCGGGCCTGCCGCACGTCATCGTCCCGAAGAAGCTCATCGCCGCCGTCCGGCACACGACCTGGTGCGGGAAGTCCCCCGCCGCGACCTGCGCCTACGATCCGAGCGTGTACTCCGGGCTGAAGATCAAGAGAGACGTGGGCACCCTGCTGATATTCTCCAGCGGATCCGTGGTCATATCATCCAGGACGACCGAGGGCACTTGGACGTTGTGGATGATGCTGGGGGCGATGCTCAAGAAGGATCCCAGCGCTCTGAAACGAGTCGCGCGGGAGGTCGGAAAGGATAGGAAGGAAGCCGGGGCTCGGCCGGGCCTATTGACCGTGGACTATGATGCGGAACTGTTGGCGTTATGAAAGGAACGAAACCCTACTTTTTTCTCACGACTTGTGTATACGCCACCGTGCATGAATGTCCTCGTGTTCTCGGCGGTGCTCGTCATATGCCTGCTCGTGATGCATACGACGACGCTCATCGTGCTCACGTACCGGAGCAGCATCGAGGAGTACCTGCGTACCCTCACGCTGGACGAGATCGCGGCTCGGGTCGGCCGGCGGACCCAGTACGTGCCCCGTTTTCGGGACGACCGTCCTCCCGCGTTTCCCCTCCCCGACGCCGCCTTCGACGACAGGCCGTGCGCGTCCGCGCTCCCGTGGGCGGTCGAGCCGAATCGGTCGAACCGGGCGATGAGCCGCGTGCAGCCGATGTATGATGAGACTCGATCTCCGTTCGCCCCGGTCGATAGGTACCAGCAGTACTTGCACCCCGCGTTCGGCAGCGCCATATCCAACGCAGACGGCACGACGCCCGTGACCATGCAGCCCGCATGGGACGTCGCGACGGTGGAGTCGAAGCGCGCGGCCTCCGCGCCCGGTTCTTGCAAGAACTACATGAATTTTTCGATCTCATAGACGGTCTTCCCAGTTCTCGGGTATGTCCTCCGAGCGGGGGCTGGCCAAGACGGCGCCGGGCGAGAAGAAGGCGTGGGCGAGCAGCTCGTTCACGCAGGGCCTGGCGGAGCTGGGCCCCAGGCATCTAGATATGATGTCGGAGAGGTCGCGGTCGTCGATGCTGGACAGGCGTTCCGGCGGCTCGACCATCATGATGCGTTTGTATATCTGTGCGTGCGATTTACATTCCCGATACGGCTCCGACCCGGTCGCCATCTCGTAGAGGCAGAGCCCGAATGCGTATATGTCCACGGTCTGGTCGTAGTGACCGTCGAATATCTCGGGGGCCATGAAGTTGGGCGTGCCCACGATGGACATGGCCGGCCCGCCGGTCGCGGAGATGGTGGCGGAACCCAGATCCCCGATCTTCACGCGGCCCGTGTGGCCGTGTATGAACACGTTGTCGCACTTGAGATCGCGATGGATGATGGGGGTCTCCGCCGCCTCGCAGTGGAGGAAGCGAACGCCCAGCAGGATCTGACGACCCCATCTCCGTATGATGTGGTTCGGGGGCAGGCCATTCGCATGCATGAAGGACTTGAGGCTGCCCGCATAGAACAGCTCGCATATCACGTCGATCTTATCATACTCATGCGAGTCGAGCCAGTATGTGATGAGTTTGAGGACGTAGGGAGAGCTGATCTGTGTCAGCATGTCGAACTCTTTGAATAATGCGGTCTTGACGCATTTCGTCAGGTCCAGGTGATCGAGGTGGACCTTGTACCAGGCGATCTCCTTGCCCGCCTCGCGGTCGTAACCTTTGTACACGATCTTAGCCGCGCCGCGCCCTATGACCTCTTTGTAGCGCACGAAGCGCTCGTCCGGGCTCGTCTCCACCACGGCTTTCGTCATGGCGAGGGGGCGGCCCTCCCTCTCGACTATACATAGGCTCATGTATTCTTCTGCCTGCCCTTACCCGACGACGTCCTGAAGCTAATGCTACGGCAGTCGACGTCCTCGACAAAATACACTAGGTCTAACAACTTCAGTACGAGGCTCTCCGCCAGCTTGGCCGCCATGGCCTTGCTCTTCTTGGGAAAGGCCGCGCATTCGGGCTTCAGTTCTATCTCTACCTCGTAGATCGCCGCGCCTTCTTCCTCCGGCGCCTCGTCGGAGCCGTCCCCGCCCCCTCGGTCCTCTTCGGCTCCCCTCGCGTTCGTCACGACGCTCAACTCGAAGGAGTAGTGCTTGTAGGCATACGAGACGCGGTCCGTCCACCTGGAGTGGTCCGCGTCCCGGATGATGGTCGCCTCCGCCTCCGGGTCGGGCGACAGACGTTTCTCCTTGGCGAAGCTGACCCGAAAGTCGAAGGGGCACCCGTCGCAGCGCACGTCCACGATCGCGGACCTCCTCTTGTTGACGAGGCTCCTGCTACCGTCCTCCGAGATCCGGAGGCGCTGCCCCTTCAGGCTGTAGTCCTTGTGTTTGGAGTAGACGACGGAGCTCGTCCAGTGGTCGTCTTCCGACAGCCGCTCCATGATCTTGTGGAAGCACGCGGAGGGGACGCCCGCCACGAAGTTTCTGGAGACGAAGCGTCCCAGCCTGAGCTCGACCTCGTTCTCCGGGTCGAAGCCGTGCTTTGTCGTGATGCTACGGGTCGTGTCGATAATACCTCGGATCCTATGATGATGCGCAAACGATACGCTCGAAATGAAAACTATCGTGTCGAATCCTAGCAATCCATCCTAACATGCTCGTGTAGTCGTAGTCATGCAGAAAACGTAGTAACCCATGGCACTCCCAAGTGTGG